CATCATTTGAAATAATTTTCTACCAAAACTTTATTTCACACAAAGCAAACATAGAATATTTTAAATGAATCAAATATATTTACCTGAGACGAAGCAAAGACAGGTTTTCTCTCGGTTGGGTGTTTGTTCGCTCTGCCTCTCTGTCTGAAGTGAGAGCGGATCCAAGACGACTGAAGTCCCCAGACGTGTAATTATTTTTAAGGGGACACCTGAGGAGTCCACAGTGCAAACATATAACATGTAGACAACAGATGATGCACTTAAAGGCTTTCCTTTAACATGCTCTGCCTTCGCTCAGTGACTCCGGTTCTTTTAGAGGTTCAGATTTGAAAAGTCGGCACATATAAGTCTTATTAAGCGTCTATTTTTAACTAAAAGAGCAAATTTAGATGATGAAATATTCTGAAAATATTACAACACAGACCCCTGCTGCCACACAAACAAACTGCGTTCATGTTGTTCAGTTGGCTGGCAAAAAAAGATTCAAAACAGAGTTACATCAGTAATACAATTTAAAGTATAGTGTTACTTCAAGGAATACGTGTTTTAATTTTTAAATATTTTGTTTCACTGTGGCAGAAAAACTATGAAAGTAACTGAAAGTGGAACTAATATAATATGCAAACAATCAGTTTATAGATTTTCACAAGATATAAGGATGAAGGGTATTACTGTAACAACAAAAAAGAGTAAGAATTGATTGTGTGTAAATACTAAACGTAGGTAAATTATACCAGTATACTGCTATAACTTCAATAGAAATGCACTAAAAAAGACAAGCATTTTGGTAATTTTACCTGATGCATGATGTCCATTATTGTAATTACTATTAATAAAATAATTATTAATTTGTATGCATGTATTATCTGCATGTATAAGGATGTGTGATGACACTCATGTGTTTATATCAAATAATTTGGGTAATTGTGCGTGCATGCGACATTATTTTATATATATATTTATATGTTCATGGCGTTGTGAAAACAGGTTGTTTTTTTAAATATATATAAAAAATGATATTTACCTTACATTCCTTGGATATTTGAATACCATAACAAGATACAGCCACTAGGGAGCACAAACCAGTGTATCTCTTGTGCCGGTCCCAGTCTTGGGTAAATATTGAGGGTTGTGTCAGGAAAAGCAGCTGATGTAAAACACTTTTGCCAAAACTATAATGCGAGTTCATCCAAGCGACACCATACAGGATCAGTCGAGACACGGGTTAACGATGACGGCCCCTGGTGCTGTTGACTAAAAGGGTGTTGGTGGAAAATGTGCTACTGTTAGTCAGTGACTGTCTGTGAGCAGCAGTTTGGTTTCATCTAGAGAAAGAGCACCACAGATGCCATCTTGGCTTTGAGGATGCTGATGGAGAAGTACACAGAGGGTCAGAAAGAACTTCATTGTGTCTTTGTGGATTTATAAAAAGCATGACAGGGTGCTGAGGGAGGAGGTGTGGGATTACATGAGGAAATCTGGTGTGGCCGAAGTATGTTAGACTGGTACAGGACATGTATGAGGACATGTATGAGGACAGCAGGACAGTGGTGAGATGTGCTGTAGGAGTGACAGATAGCTTCAAGGTGGAGGTGGGAGTGCATCAAGGATCAGATCTGAGCCCCTTCTTTGTTTGCTCTGGTGATGGACCGACTAACAGATGAGGTCAGGCAGGGATCCCCATAGATTATGATGTTTGCAGATGATGTTGTGATCTGTGGTGAGAACAGGGAACAGGTGGAAGAGAACTTGGAGACATGGAGGTATGTACATGAAAGAAGAGGAATGAAAGTCAGCCGTTGTAAGACAGAGTACATGTGTGTGAATGAGAGGGAGGAGGTGGAACAGTGAGGCTACAAGGAGCAGAGGTCACAAAGGTGCAGGACTTCAAGTACTTGGGGTCCACTGTTCAGGAAAATGGGGAGTGTGGTAAAAGAGGTGAAGAAGAGAGTCCAGGCAGGATGGAGCAGATAGAGAAAAGTATGAGATCATCAGAGGTACAGCACAGGTTGAACAACTGCGAGATAAAGTTAGAGAGACCAGACTGAGATGGTTTGGACATGTCCAGAGGAGGGACAGTGGGTATACTGGTAGAAGGATGTTAGAAATGCAGCTGCCAGTAAAAAGACAAAGAGGAGATATATGGATGCAGTTAGAGAGGACATGGAGGTAGTTGGAGTGAGGACAAAGGATGCAGAGGACAGAGTGAGATGGAGGAGGATGACTCGCTGTGGAGACCCCTGAAGAGGAAAAAGCTGAAATCAGACCATATCAAGCCATTGATATTACATTACAGATAAAAATATATTTACTATAGATGAGTTGTATGATTAAGTAAGTTTATATTTTTCCTACTCATTTTTGAACAGATAGAAAAGGTTCAATATTTAACTTCATTCTCTTAACTTTTAATGTTTCTACTTTTGTATGGATTTAATTGTGCATTCAGTTTATTTCTGGTTCAACCTGTGACCTGAGATCACTTGATGTTGAAAATCAGCTTACAGCCATTTTGGTCATAACAAAATTCAATTATGTGCAATCTCATATTACTGTATAAGATGTCTCACTCATAGTATGTTATGAATGACTTTCAGCTACTTCTACAACAAATTTTAGCTCTATATCAGTAAGTTTGACTGATTTAAGTTTTTTTTTAATTTAGGCTAATGCTATTTAACAACTGCAGCCATTTTAGACTCAAATGATTCCAAAGGATGAATCTAGGCTCATGCACAGTTCTGTAGTTTATAATCAGACTGTCAGACAAATATTTGAAAAATTTGGTTCTTTTTCATCTCGGTAATCATCTTACTTCAACCGTAAGAGGTCAGTGCACAGAAAGCTTTCATGCTGGATGCCCATCTCCAGTCTGATATTTGATCCTTGGAGTGTTCTTTGAATCACCTTCCAGTAACGGAGCAGTTTTCCATTCCCAGACTCTGCACAGGAACAGCTCCAACAGGTTAGCTGCCTCAGCAGAGGTCCAGGTGGCCTTGGTGTTCAGGTTTCAGCTCACCTGCACTCACTCTGTGAATAGGAGTTACAAGATTCTTAGACAAAACAAACCAGAGTGGGGGAAACCCACTCTATTACACATCTGTGATTACACAGGTTAGAAGAAAAACACGTTTTTGCAGCTCTGCGTGCAGTCGCCATTTCAAATTTGAGATATTTACCTTTGGCCCGAGGCTCCAAGCAGATAAAGGTGCAGAGCAGCAGGTTACCGAGGTGTTGTGTTTGAGAATATGAGCAAAGAAATGAAGAAAACTACCTGACAGCATCTTTGGATCTTCAAGAAAAGTTATACTTCCACTGTATACGTCTGCAAACTTACAAAGATGGTGGAAAACATCTAATTTGAACGAACATACACCTTCATTTCTGCTTAAATCTAAAAAGAGTTCTATTCATCACTTCTGCCGTCACATTTTCCTTTTTCTCTACAACTCATTTGACTAAAGATTTTAGAGCTTTTCGTTTATCCAACATTTTACACATTTCATTTGTAAGAATAACAATTTTCTAAATTGGGCATGAAATCAGGCAGAAGTCTTTATAACGACAAATCCAACAAAAACGATTGAAAGAGGAGTAAAAATTTATTTTACTGGAAAAAGTAACAGAAATCTTAATGTACATAACTCTACAACAGGATGTTCATTCAAAACTTGGGCTGATTCTTTCTACGGGGGTCGCCGCGGACCACCGAGCTGCAGCCGCCAAAACAAACGGATCAAAAACTATAAATACAACGGAATGATTTGTTCTCTCTGCCCAGCTAACGTTGAAGGCACTTTGAAGGAGGTTCACTTTGACTAAACAGATGAAAACAACAAACAAATTCAACACTGTCCCACAAAAACTACAGCTGAAGACAAACGGTACAAATCCTCAAAACTTGAACTCGCAATACTGCACTGAGCACTTCACTAGTTTAAAGCTGTACTGCAAGGAATAAAGAACATCACACTAATGACTAATTTACAACTAAAAAGCAAAACCAACATTTTGATTATTTACATGAATTATACACATATTTACAATTTCAGTATTTTCACCAAACGCACAGGAGAGCCCAATAAATATACTGTTTGAGATGCTAATTTTAAATGTGTCATGCAGCAACATATGCTCTTTTAGTAATAGATCACGTTCCAACATCAAACTTATAACTTTTTTATTTCTCTCCAGTGATCAACACTGATATTATATGCCTTAATAGTAGCAGCATTAACACATCAGCTTATAGCTGAGACGGTCTGGAAACATGTTGAATAAATCCTAGTGTAACTGTGCTGTAATTTGTTTTTACTGAAAATAATTTTTAAAAACACTCTTTAGACAACATTCATCAGAAATCCTTGGCGGTAATGAGCTGCGAGAGTTGGCAAAACATTATAAAAAGGTTTAAAAAATGGTTTGTTGAAATTAGATCTGTAAAACTGATGTCATCTTACATGCACGTGTTTAAACGTGTACAATTCACAGTTTAAAACGGTTATTTAATGGTAGCCCTTTGAAAAGTCCCTCTTTTCATCCACGGTCTTAAACGAGCTTTTTGTAGCAGAACAGAGCGCAGCAGGCGGGTCTGTTCTGCGATCCCAGCCTCGTTAGCTCTGCTCCAAAGTTATGTCCTCTAATTAATGAGCCGCAGTTTGACTTGACTAAAGATGCTACCGTTCAACTTTGTAACAACATACAAAACGGAAAATAAAAACAGATGTACAACATAACCCTCCTTATAAAATGTAGAGAGGAAAATGATAAAGTTTAGAAAGCTGGATGAGAAATTACAAACAAAGCGAGAATCTGTATGATGTTCACAGTCGATTCTGAAATATGACCCTTTTTTTTTGCTTAATTAGATAAAAATATGTTGCATAAATTCCACTTTCCACAGACTTTTTTGTTCCATATTTTTGTCATAATAGACATTTTATAGTTATACTAGGTGAAACAACACCAAAATGTATCAACCATTATCCTCTGGATATGCATGGGCATAAGTTAAGTTAAATAAAGATATATTTTTAAATATTAAAAAACAAGCTTTTGACTCACGTTTGGTAAAAGCTAAAGGATCATTTAAATGTCTTTTAAAACGGACCGTTTAATTTTGCTTTGCTGTATATTTCAGGTCAAGTTTCACCACAAACTGAAGCCAGTGTTTAGGAAGGAGAAGTAGTGAAGCCGTTTGCGTCCTCCAGCTCTGACACGTCGGCCATTGGAGTTTCATCAGTGTTTACGACGCTGTAGTGACCAGTCTCTGTGTCCCTGTACTTCAGCTTTTGCTTTCTCCTGTCCTGCATAACAGCGTGGATCAGCCCCACTGGGACGGGCAACATGGCAAATATGATGAGTAAAGACAAAACAGCCAGGGCCCAGCCGGGGTAACGCAGAAATCTATCCGTCGCCTGAAAAATACAAATCAAATGAATTAGTCAACGACCAGAATAGTGATCATTTATTGCACTGATGCTTTCATGTGGAGGCAGGAGTGGAGAAAAAGTTGTTTTTGTGCACATGTGCAGAAACAAAAAGGAAAAAAAAAGTATTTTTAATTGAAGCTCAACATGTTTTGTGGTTGAACCATGAGAAGCTGTTAAAAGTTTTTAGACCGCAGCGATGCCGCTGAAATAAAACTAAATTTTTCTACAAAAGTAAACGCCTTCATACCGTGTCCTGGTTCCATGCCCTGTAGGTCGGGGCTTGAAGAAACATGCGGATGGTGGTAGCTCCAAGCAGCCCCAGCATAGACAGCAGGCAGACGTACTTCCACAGGTATTTATAAATGACGTGGGGACGCCAGCCCAGCATGGCATGGATGTCGTCAAGAAACCTGGAAACATTTGCAAAACATTCGAGATCGAGGCGAAGCTGAAAATCTCACCAGACACCCAGAGTGTGAAAAGAAACCTCACCTGTCGGCTCCGTACAGCCACGACACACTGAAGGTTTCGAACATGACAACGATGATGAGTGGAAGAGTGGCGGAGTAATCATCAAACATGCTCACGAAGTAGTTTCCACAGCGCTGGGTGAAGATGAGGCCGATCAGAAATCCAATGATGCAGCTGCCGACTGAAGCAGCAAGGACAGAAACGTTGAGCGTACTGATGTGTTAAAAACATTTTTGTCCCTTTAGTGTTAGTTTGAAGTGGTGCCCATCTTGAACTGGGTTGACTTAAAAAGTTTATCATTGTAAATGTACATTAAATTATTAATTTATGCAAATTTCACTCAAATTTGTCCAGTGGTTCATAAGATATTTTGCTAACAGACAAATTATATAATAATAATGCATTTTATTTGAAGGTGCCTTTCAAATCACTCAAGGTCACCAAACAAGAAATACACAGATAAAAAAAAAACAATAAAAGGCAGACACAATTAATGGTAGAATACATAATGACATAAAGCCTTTCATTATTCAGTAATAATAATCAGTTTTATATGATCAAAGCGATGCCGTAAAAAATCTTCGAGTAAAAATTGTGTTTACCTGTGAGTTTGATTTTGTTGTTAGCCAGACACTTGAAGCGGTCCCTGAGCGGGGCGAGGATGCCCTCCATGGTGCCGAACATGGTGCTGAGACCCAGGTTGAGCAGCATGAGGAAGAAGATGGCCGACCAGAAGGGGCTTCCAGGCAGCAGCGTCATGGCCTCTGTGAAGGCGATGAAAGCCAGACCCGTCCCCTCGACGCCCTGGACAGAAAACAAGTTGAGATTTTCTGTCAAAATGCAGAGGAAACTATGAACGACTGAAGACATTTACAGAAGAAATAGAAACGTGGTTGATAAATCTAAAAGAAGCAGAACAGTAGCTAAAAGCTACAAGGAGAAAAAAAGGCAACAAAATGTTATTTTGAAGCTAAAAGCAGCAAAATGGTAACTAAATGCCGTAAGTAGCAAAAACAAAGTTTATTTATCTACTGTAGCACCAAGTCACAGCTGAAGTCATCTCAGGGCACTGAACAGAAACATTCATACATATAAAATGTAAGTTAATATTTATGTGAGGAGCAGACTGCTTTAGGTTTAACTTCATCACAGACTCATCTTGAGCAAGCATAAAGGCAACAGTGGAAAGGAAAAACTAAAAAAAAAAAAAGGAAAAGAAAAAAATTAAAAAGTATAAAAAGCCAAATGCTAAAAAAAAAAAAAAAAAAGCAAATGCTACGTAAAGGCTAAAAGTAAAAAAAAAGACTAGATCAACCTGAAAGTAGCAGAACTACATATGTAGCTGTAGTTCGATTGCAAAACACACACTGAAAAAAATAAATCCACAAAACATGAACAGGGTCAGATACTTTCTTACATTCTGCATCTCTTGCTCCAGGTTGCACTCTGTTAAATTGCCAGGGAAGTTGTTTCCACTCCGTTTAAACCAGTCAGTGTAGACCTCCAGACTCACTGATTTGGGATCAGAGTAGTTAAAGTTGGGCATCAAGCTCGGATCCAAACCACTGTGCTCCGACAACTTCTTCACGTTACTAAAAAAGAAAAAAGAAAACGTTCCTAAACATTCAAGAGGCTTGTGAGGTAAAAACGAGCGAAAATCCTCACACGTACCTGACCACGCATGCCATGACTTTTTCTTTTGCACGGAAGCCAAGCACAGCAAACACCACCAGAGTGGCCAGCACAGAGGTGAGGAAGTTTATGAAGGAGACCGTGAAGGCATCGCGGTGACAGTTGTTGTTCTTGGGATTGTAGGAGGAGTAGGCAATGATGGATCCAAAGCCGAGGCCCAGAGCGAAGAAAACCTGCGTGGCCGCCTGCCGCCACACCTGAACGTCTCCCCAGATTTCAAGCTGCGGAAGAAAACACAACGTGTGTCAAGAAAATCCTCACATCGGCTTAACTTCATTCAGCCAGATGTTTTATCTGCGGATACCTTGGGGTAAAACATGTAGAAGATTCCTTCTTTAGCTCCGTCCAGCATGAGTCCTCGGACGAGGAAGCAGAACAGCACCACGTAAGGGAAGATGGAGGAGAAATACATCACCTGGGACATGAGGACAAACTAAATTATCCGGGAGAACCAGCACTTCATCTCTAATATTAAATATTTCACCACACCACTGGGTTTTCCCCACACAGACAAAAACTTGAACACAACATCAGGTTTAGAAACAAAGTAGTAGTCCCTCGCTACATGTTTGTGTTCATGTTTGTGCTGATGTTCAATGTTTTATGTTATGAGTGCTTAGTGTATATTTAGTTGATGTTTTTCTTAGTTCATATCTTAGATGTTATTACTGTTTTTCTTATACATTTTATTGTTGGATGTAACTGGGACCCCGTGTACATAATTTCGCTCCACCACATGTACCACATGAGGAGCGAATGACAATAAAGAAACTCTGACTCTGACTCTGACATCGCGGTTCGACTTTTGTGGACTCCCTCTTTCACGGTTTTTCAAAGTAAGATTGTACGCAACATAAAAATAAATAAATAAAAAGATTGCGCACGACACACGATTGTCAACTTTTAATATTTCTCACGTGACTGGGACAGTACAGGATACAGTAAAAAGTTAACGGAAAAAAACCTTTGACCAGGCGCTGCCATTTTGTAGTTTTCTTTCAATAAGTCTACACTGTATCGCCAGTCAAAAGAACTACACTACCCAGAAGCCAACAGTGTTTCCGGCCGCTGCTTTCTGTTGAATGGAGGGAAAGTTTTGATCTGATCTGAAAAAGTTCGGTCCTTAGTGACTTTGGTGCTCAGTGGATGCAGAAAACCGTATGGAATAGACCGGGAATTGGACCAGGACTACTTCCAGCCTCATCAGTCAATCTGATGCTGCTTGCCGGCTCATGAAGCCTCTCGAGTGGGGAGGCGTTTCTTGGAGGGCCGGTGCCTTCTCCAGAGCTCACCCGGACTTTTATCATCTGGATTCCTCTGGATTATTTGGACTCAGTTGGGACCATTGTGTGGTTTTGTGCTGGCTCTCCGAAGGTCCGGCTCTCTCTAAAAGCATCTGGTACTCAACGGCTGCAGAGAGCCGATCAGAACCAGATCAGAACCGGACCAAGGCTGGTGAGTATCCATATAAAATTTAGCAGTAGCTACTGTGCAGTACATATACAGTGAAGAAATTAAGTATTTGAATATCCTGCGACTTTTCAAGTTCTCCCACTTAGAAATCATGGAGGGGTCTGAAATTTTCATCTTAGGTGCATGTCCACTGTGAGAGACATAATGTAAAAAAATAAATCCAGAAATCACAATGTATGACTTTTTAATAATGTATTTGTGTGTTACTGATGTAAATAAGTATTTCAACACCTGCCAATCAGCAACAGTTCTGTCCCTCAAAGACCTGTTAGTCCGCCTCTAAAAAGTCCACTCCACTTATTATTCTAAACTAGAAGCACCTGTTTGAGGTGGTTAGCTGCATAAAGACACCTGTCCACCCCACACAATCAGTAAGACTCCAACTACTAACATGGCTAAGACCAAAGAGCTGTCCAAAGACACCAGAGACAAAACTGTAGACCTCCACAAGGCTGGAAAGGACTACGGGACAATTGCCAAGCAGCTTGGTGAAAAAAGATCAACTGTTGGAGCAATTATTAGAAAATGGAAGAAGCTAAACATGACTTGTCAACCTCCCTCGGACTGGGGCTCCATGCAAGATCTCACCTCGTGACGTATCAATGATCCTAAGAAAGATGAGGAATCAGCCCAGAACTACACGGGAGGAGCTGGTCCATGACCTGAAGAGAGCTGGCACCACTGGTTCCATGGTTACTGTGGGTAATTCACTAAGACGTCATAGTTTAAAGTCATGCATGGAACGGAAGGTTCCCCTGCTTAAATCAGAACACGTCCAGGCCCGTCTTAAGTTTGACCATGACCATTTGGATGATCCAGAGGAGTCATGGGAGAAAGTTATGTGGTCAGATGAGACCAAAATAGATCTTTTTGGTCTTAATTCCACTTGCCATGTTTGGAGGACGAAGAATGATGAGTACCATCCCAAAAACACCATCCCTACTGTGAAGCATGGGGGTGGAAGCATCATGCTTTGGGGGTGTTTTTCTGCACATGGGACATGACGACTGCACTGTATTAAGGAGAGGATGACCGGGGTCATGTAGTGAGAGATTTTGGGGAACAACCTCCTTCCTTCCGTTAGAACATTGAAGATGGATCGAGGCTGGGTCTTCCAACATGACAATGACCTGAAGCACACAGCCAGGAGAACCAAGGAGTGGCTCCGTAAGAAGCACATCAAGGTTCTGGAGTGGCCTAACCAGTCTCCAGACATAAACCCTATAGAAAATCTTTGGAGGGAGTTCAAACTCCGTGTTTCTCTGCGACAGCCCAGAAACCTGCTGATCTAGAGAAGATCTGTGTGGAGGACTGGGCCAAAATCTCTGCTGCAGTGTGAGCACACCTGATGAAACTACAGGAAACATTGGACCTCTGTAACTGCAAACAAAGCCATCCATCCATCCATCCATCCATTTTCTTTACCCGTTTATTCCATTTTGGGTCACTGGTGCCCATGTCCAGCAATCACTGTGCGAGGGGCGGGGTACACCCTGGACGGGTCGCAAGTCCATCACAGGGCCACATAGAGACAAATGAGACAAACAACCATTCACTCTCTCACTCACACCTAGGGACAATTTAGAGTTACCAATCAGCCTAACATGCATGTTTTTGGTCTGTGGGAGGAAACCGGAGCACCTGGAGAAAACCCACGCATGCACGGAGAGAACATGCAAACTCCACCCAGAAAGGCTGGACCGGGGTTTGAACCAAGGACCTGCTCGCTGAGAGGCAGCAGCTCTACCAGTTGCACCACCGTGCTGCCCGCAAACAAAGCCTACTGTTCCAAATATCAACATTGATATTCACAGGGGTCCAAATACTTATTTGCAGCAGTAACACACTAATAAATTATTTTAAAAAATCTTGCATTGTGAGTTGCAGATTTATTTATTTTTTTAGATTATGTCTCTCACAGTGGACTTTCACCTAAGATGAAAACTTCAGACCCCTCCATGATTTCTAAGTGGGAGAACTTGCAAAGTCGCAGGGTGTTCAAATACTTATTTTCCTCACTGTAATCTATGGTGTTAAAATTACGTAGGTTTAAGAGTTTAGAACAATGCTAGAGCGTGGGAAAGGTTTATGAAGCATTAACATATATATAAATACTAAAATAAATATAACGTCCCTACATTGCAGTTTTTCACTTATTGCAGGGGGTGTCCTGAACGTAACCCCCGCAATAAACAAGGGACTACTGTATCATTACTCTGATCAGGGTACGGCGTTGATGATTGCCTTCTCGCACAGAGCAATTAAATCTGTGTCTGGGCAGAGCAGCCTTTACGACACATGGACCAATCAAAAACTGTTCTTAAGTCAGAACATTTATAATCTTTACGTCTGAATCGGTGGTGGGAAAAATACTTTTTTTTTTTTTAAAAAGGTCAGTCAGTCGCACGTAATATTTCTGAACGCCGATCATTTTAATCCTCTTGTTTTTGTACTGTTAGGCTGATTACATTTCTCTGTAGTCGCTGTGGGTTTCAGTGAAAGCTGCGTCTGTCCTTCACTGCCTGTTGTGAAAAGATCTGTACGGACTGAACTGTGGCGTGTTTTTCTTACACAACACAGAAGAAAAACATTCAACACACATCAGGGGGTTTCAGACTCGACGTGGATCGGCACTTTTTAAGCTAGATTCCATTGTGCACGAGCACTTAAATCCACGCTAAACATGTGACACGGATTTTTAACAAAGTTCCCAAAGTACAAGAATAAAACTGCAGCATTAAATGGGTGCTCTATTATTTAGTCATCTAATTGTATGCTTTTAAATACTTTTTTTTTGGCAAAATGTAGTATTTAAAGTATAACATATGTACATTTCTATAAAATGATAACACACCAGCAGGAAAATATAATGCACAATAATATACGTTGTCTAACACACAAGTTTAAAAAGTAGTGTTAAATCTAAAGTAACTTCCTTGTGTGTGTTTGTGACGAGAATCCCTCGATTAGATGCTAAATACCTTAACAGAGGACTTGATTCCCTTGAACATTCCCAGGCACACGATGGTCCAGGCTGCAAACAGGCAGCCCACAACATGCGGGTTGAAGGAGCCCACCTCATCGATGGAGTATGTGATATCCAGAGCTTTGCGGTACCAGAAATACGACGTGGGAGAACTTTTCTCACATTCTGTCACTGATAAGAAAAAAGTTGTAAAAACAATTAAGACACTACTCTCATGTAAGACACGTGGTTCATACTTTTAAACTCTATTAATTAATCAATTCTACTATTGTTTACCTGTTATATTTCCTTGCAGTGAACAGTTTTCCCAAGGTAACGGGGACTGGAACGAGTTCCCAAAGTAGAAAAGGCTCCATGCGAGGATCACGTTGTAGTAGAGCGCCACAAAGAAACAAACCTGAGGAGTTTTAGAACAGGATAGTTCAAGGAAAAAAAAAAAATATATAGAGAGATGTGACAGGTAAATGTGTTCTACCTACAGACAGAAATGCAGTTAAAAATATGTATTAGAAAGGTACTGTTCAAAAAAGCAGCCGCCAGTTTTGGATCGTTTTGTAAAAATTAAAAAAAAAGTGTGAACATCACATTATTGCCCAGATAGTTTCTTTCTAAAGCTTCTTAAATAAAAGGTTTTTCCAGCAACAGCAAAAAGGTTTTAAACAGGAAATTATTCATTACCGTACTGTTCGCTGTATAAATCGCACTTTTTTACATAAATTAGCAAGTCCTGCGACATATACGGCGAAGCGACGTATTTATGGTTTTTTTTTTCCACTTTATTAGACATATTTGAACTGACGCAACTTATACGGCGGTGCGACGTGTACGGCAGAAAATACAGAATATACTAAACAAAATAAAAGGAGGAAAGCTGCACGGCTTTCTGTTTTATAAAAATCATAGAGAGGAGAGTTAATCATTTAGCATGTGTTTACCACGCAGCTGGAGTAACCGATGCCTGCGAGCCTCGGGGAGATGGACTTCCACACTCCGATGCTGCCCTGTCGGATGGCCTGACCGGCTGCCAGCTCCAGGAAGAAGAGGGGAATCCCAACGACCAGCATCAGCAGCACGTAGAGAAGGAGAAAAGCTCCTGAGACAAGAGGAACCGGACTCAATTAGCCAAACAACCTACATTCAGGGGAAATAAAAAGTGTGTGAAGGAGAAGCTGCCATTGTTTGCTATTCAAAGTTTCCTTTTCCATCATCAGCTGCGCACCGAACCCAAAACTTTCCCATTTAGTCTCTTGTAAACTACAGACAGAAGTCAGAAGTGCTCACCTCCTCCGTTTTGGTGGCACAAATATGGAAACCTCCAGACGTTGCCGAGTCCGACACTGAATCCCACCTGAGCCAAAAAGTACTCGATTTTACTGTTCCATCCCGCTCGAGAGGCCGGTTCAGAGGTTCCCTGCTGCAGCTCCTGAACGTAGCGGCTAACCTCATACTCTCCGGGTTTGTCGTCATCGGTTGGCAAAGGCTGCTTCTCCATCTGAGAACGGAGCGAACAACTGGACACAAAACAGACGCTAATGAAGGAACACCCATTTAGAAAGACTTCTGAGCAGAAGTTTTGCAAAGCGGGAACAGATTTCGGCGCCGGAACAGGTACATTACGCTGTTATTAGTTCAGCGAGTTGATCTAATGAGGTCAGGAGTAGCAGGAGAAACTAGTAATCCAAAAAGTATTTGGTTGACGTATGCAAACATAGCAATTAGGCTAGGTTGTGAGGCCATCCCACTTTGTATTTGATAATGTAGTTTTTTTGTTATCAGTATACAAAAGACAAAATATCAGAATCTCAAAGCCTTAAAAATGCACAGTACTGTATCTGTTATGTATGCAGGCATGGCTTTATGTCATTTTAAGCAGTAATCATCAGCTGATTAAAACTGGTTGCCCACTAAATTATCACATGTATGTTGAAGCTTTATGGACATGAAAGTCCATTTAATTTAATCTATTTATTTGTTTTATGCACTCATTGTCAACATTAGTTAAGATGAGTTTCTATTGAACATTGTCAATGTTCTCTGTAATTTCTGCCCAAATAGTTGCAAACATGAATATAATCATCCTTAATCCACCCTGAAGTTAGAAATGTGTCATAATAAGGGTGTCTCTAATATTTTAACTTAATCACAATAAGGCTTTATGATTTGTGGAAAGACAAAATGAATTATTATTTTTGGTAACTTGACTTTTTCTGCCTTATGGTGGTGAGTTAGGTACAGGTAGGATTAGGATAATCCCTGATTAGAGATCCTTTAAATCCGTTCATCCACATGTATTTAAAAGTTGCAAGCAAATTCTTATTTTATTAAAAAATACAGAGTAACAGAAATAACTTGGCGAGATATAAACATCACGGCGTTGAGGCGCGTCCTCAACCTCCTGAATATTTATTAATTAATCTGGACTCACTAAAATATTTTTAATATACATGTAAATTCAACAGCATTTTATAAACTAACTCACCTGGTCTCCGGAAAATGTCTTCGATGAATAAAGAGGGATGTTATTGAGAGGCGGAAAACACGAGAATCTTTGATCCTTCCGTCTGTTCAGAGATAACCTCCACGTGCGAGTTCAGCGGCCACTACGTGGCGAACCTCGAGCGCGAAGATGTAAAATACTCCACTTTAGCTGTGAGACACTTAGTTCTGCTCACATGTAGTTACAAAATATTGATAAAAATGAGATTGTAAGTTTCCCCGCATGTTACCGCACTGTTGTTTCAGGAGGAGAGTCGCTAGACGTCTCCTTCCGCGTGATGCAAGAGTAGAAGGAGGAGCGCTCCTTTTTACACACCGAGGGAGGAGCGTATGCGTTAAACGAGCGTTCAGCAGGTTTACTGACTTTTTTATTTATGTTTCTGAACTAAACTTCAAAATAACCTCATTGTATTTGACTAGTTACACGTTGAAATGTGCATATGCCACTTGGCAGAAATCTGAGCGGCGCATTTTGAATGATAGCGGTTTAGACTCCGCCTACTCAGCGCGCCGCCAAACGCGCCGACGTCACTCATCGATTTAATAAAAATATCAACGAACGCTGCCCCAACCTACGCCACACCCACCTACGCTGCGTCTGACGTCACGAAAATGATGCAAAGACGTGGCTGCATCCAAAATAAAACTTAAAGGAACGGAAGAAAAAAAAGTAGATAAGGTTTTTACTTATCTATACCTGTTTTAAGTTCACTCATACAGTGTACTTTAAAGCTCTGTCCATATGTTCGAATATAAAGCTGGTTTAGGAGTTTTAAATATCAACTTCTTTTTTTTTTTTTTTTTTACTTTGAAAGACTGTGTGAATTTGAACGCGTAATGAACGCACGCGCCTCAGATTTATTTTCCTAAACGTGCGATCGGATGCAGTCAGGGTATACATTAGAATCCCAGGGGGATTATAGAAAAGTTTATGTTTTGGCCTTCTTAAACTTTCAAATTTAAAACAGAAGTTTATTTATTTATATTGTTTAATATTCTATTTTAGGTTGTGGCACGGACTCTAATTTAGTGTTTTCTCCTAGTTGAGTTTGTTTGTTTGTTATTTCTAAGATGAAAAGGCAGAAACTGCACTGATAACCTACTTTCATCATATCCGGACACTGACATTTCTTGGGGCAAACACGCGCACTGCCACGTATGCCTGTCCTGAAGGTAAATAAAACACTGCAAACCCTCCTAACTCTGAAACCGTCACGTGCATAAAACGTGCTCCCCAAACCAAACAGTGAAGTGTTGAAATACCTTAATTGTCTTATTAAAGGAAGTCCTTCTTGAAAAAGTGGTCCAAATGTCCTCACACAGTTTGTGACTGTAAGAAGTTTCAGCTGACTCCGCCCCCAACAACTCCTACTGGACATCAAAGCAGGGACACCGACTGTCTGCACAGCACTTTACTCCATCCCATGAACTTTACGTGTCTTCCTGTTTTTATTATCCCATCAGGACCATTTAAACATCATCTTAAGAAGAGGTGTCCTGATGAGGACCAGCAACATGTCCTGGGGATTTCTGAGCTCCTGCTCAGGGATGAATTAAGTATTTTACATTTTAAGATGCTGCCTTATATATAACCCTTGAACAGTCAGACTGATTATTGTCACTCGCCTTTGTTAGCAAAATACTTCATGAGCCAGCAGATGGATTTTTAAACTAATTATGCACTTAGAGTCAACCCAATGAGGCTCTAACGCAGTGTGTTTAACACAAGCTGAGCTAAAAGCTGTTGTGATATATACTCCACGGTGTCATATTTTTGTTTTAAACATTTGCCATTAACTGTTGGTGTCAACTTCGCTTGTCTGTTCATAAAATAACTCATAAACCATTGCACGGATTTTAATGAAAGTTATCCTTGAATCTAACTCTGCCACTTATTAACTTTTAAAATGTTCCCCCAAAAAGATGGCGACAGCAGCTAATAAACCTTAACAAACCAATATGGCTGTAATTCAGTGTAGATTTCCAGTGTAGAAGTAAAGTTTGTTTTGAGAGTTACTGAGAGTCATCCTCAACAAATACTCCAAGAGCTAACACATCTCATGAGACTCTTTTAAAAGGTTTAACCAAAACTCCATCACTTCCCAGAAGATGATGTTTGTCTAAGACTCCATGATGAAAGGCCTTTAATTTCAAAACAAAATGTCTTTATAATAATTTGAATATAAATGATCACACAAAAGTTATGAGGAATTCAACTGTGAATAAGCATCTATACTTCTTTCTGACACCATTTATTTATTTATTCCACACCAACGCCAGGACTTTGAGGTAAGTCACTTTAAATGTGTAGCACCCTCTTCTGGAGCCCCTGGGACTAACCAAAGCATCATGTGCAAGGGTGCTAATCAAAAATAACAATAAATTCAGTGTGACTTCTATGAAAGCAACTGTTTCAAAGTTGTTCTGATCATTTGGGCGTGTGTTACCACAGGGTGGAAAGACATCAGCAATAATCCTAGATAAGCAACTACTGGTGTTTACATATTCGAAAACGCACTAAAGGTCATTTCAAACAATCTGGAATCTACCATTCTACAGTACGTTAATAAAAAATTTTAAAAACAGCTGTCGACATTCCAGTAAAATGCAGTTTACCCTGCAGTCAGACTGTGCAATGCTCCAAGAAATGACCCATAAGCTCCAGTCTCTACAGGCATCAGTGTGAGCACGGTACATGTTAAAGTAATGGAGCAGATAAAAGACTGAACCAGGCTGGAAGGATGCCAGATTTAGCCTCCGCCAATAATACTTAGGTTTGTACCTGAACAAACCGTGAAACTTCTGAAGCAAAATTTATTTCAAACTGATGAGACTTGAGACGAGAGGCATGACCCAACAACATGACTCAAACCAAACAGCACAAAGATGCCATAGCTGTCGAGCACGGTGGTGGAGGGGTGATGATCTGGGCTCGTTGTGCAGCTATAGGACCTGGACATCTTACAGTGAGTGAATCGTGCTCCTGTGCTTATCAAAATGTTTTGTCAAGTCAAATGTGAGGTTGTTTGTCCACAGCTGAAGCTTGGCTGAAGCTGGGTCATGTAACTTTTAGATTTTACTCATCCTTGAGCTACTTGTTGGTACAGGGTTTCCCACGGTAACTAGTATTTAGCCACTTTTAGCAATGTTTAGCTTTTGCTATTTTAGCTACCCCTCTGCTACTTTATCTTTTAGCTAGCCTTTTGCAGCTTATCGGTAATCGGCTAGTGTTTTACTTCATTGTTTCTTTTTTGGTTTTGTTTTTAGTTTAATCTTCTTTAGTAAATATCCTGATGCATGCTTAATATTCCAGGTAGAAAAAAACTAACGTTTAACAAAAATCTAACAAAGTTAAGTCAGGTTGTCTGGACGGATTCAAAACAATATAAAATAAAAAACTTTTTGAAACGTTTCGTCTTTAATCCAAAAGACTTTGTCACTCTGAGGACCACAGAACAACTGTGTCAACTCTTGAAACTGTGCCTGCAGTCAACCTACTTCACATATGGGGAGCAATATTATAGGCAGAAACATGGGTGTGCTATGGGGTCTCCAGTTTCTCCTATTGTTGCCAACCTGTACATGGAGGAGGTAGAAAAGAGAGCCTTGACGTCCTTTTCAGGGACACCACCAAGTCATTGGTTCAGGTATGTTGACGACACCTGGGTTAAAACTAAATCTCAGGAAGTCCAACATTTTACTGACCACATCAACTCTGTGGATAAATACATCAAGTTCACACGAGAAGATGTAAAAAATGGCAGGTTGGCTTTCTTGGACTGTGAGGTCTCAGTTTCTGATGGAGGACATTTGCAAACAAACCCACCCACACAGACCAGTATTTGCACTTTGACTCCCATCACCCTTTGGAGCACAAGTTAGGAGTCATCAGGACTCTGTATCACAGAGCTGACAGCGTCCCCACTAGCTCAGGAACCAGACAGAAGGAGAAATCCCACACAAGACAGGCTCTAGAGCAATGTGGATATCCTAACTGGGCCTTCCTGAAAGCAGAGAAGAAACCCAAACAGGACTCCAGTCAGCCAACAGGTGAAAAGGAGGAACCCAGACCAGTGGTCATTCTGTATGTTTCAGCGAAACGGAGACATTTATTTTCTAAACATGACGTTCCAGAAGCTTTCAAACCCCAAAATACATTACAACAAAGACTGGTTGTCAAGGGAATTTAGGTAAAGGTTGTGGATGTTTATTAGTAACTAATGTTAAATTAATGTGTGTGAGTTAGGGAGTTGTTTTGTCTTCTCAGAGAGGAGCCTGCAGGTGCACGGATAACTCCAAGGCCTTCCCCGAGTCTGTAAGCTGGAAAGTCGAGGTCGTCTTGACCTCGGCTCTGTCTGATAAGTGTGTATTAAAGCTCTTCCTGCCACTCTGTCCGGCGCAGATTCTCTGACGAGGCTAACGCTTGTAACATTTATACATCTGTAGAAGCTTCCTCGTGACGTCTACCCTTGCAAGTGAAGACCAGTTAAAATCTTCTCGTGTCCTCGGAGTGGCTTATTTGAGTAAGCAAACGATGAAACGATATTTATGTTATCCAACATGTTTGGTCCTTCGAGTCCGGCGCCATCATCTCCCCGGAGCACCAGCAGGCTTATCTCATACCGTGCACGTGGGGAGGATTGATCTCCTGAAATTAGAAGATTCCGGCTGGTGTTTCGGGACGTGACAGGTGTCGAACGGAGAATGAAGCCACGCACGGAAGAAGCGAGAGGATTATGTTTATTATTTTTGGGAGGTTTGGGACCTTAGCTATGTTTTCTGGAGGAACCGGGGTCCCAGCAGCCGGGGGCTCCGTAGGCAGATAGTTTGGGATTATCATCTCCCTTCTGAGAGTTTCAGTGGTCGGATTAGAGCGGAACATTGGTTTGAGAGAGGAGTGAAGGAGGCCATCTTTGTGAAATTAAACCATCCATCATTAAACAGGGGCGGAGGCCTCCGTGTTCAACTGTCCCCCTCTTTCAATGCTGTTATTGCTAGTATCACTCAGCCTCCTGTGAATAGCAAGCAGCCATCAGGGCACTAACGGTCAATCGTTAGGCTGATGGTCCTCCCTTATCATTTGAACAGCTGGTTTTGGCTGTCAGCAGCAAAATGGTTGATCCACTATGAGAAGGTGCTATTTATAAGACTGAGTTTACTGCAGCTCCTCAGACTGAAGAAGTCTTTTGGATTACAAACGTTTCAACAAGTTTTTTATCTTTTTATTTATTTTTAATCTGTCCAGAGGACCTGACTTAACTTTGTTAAGACTTCTTTGGTAAATTTCTGCATGTTTTAATTTTTGTATATTTTCATTGATAGTTGTTATTTTCAAGAAAAGTGCAGCTGTAAGCACTGTAATGGTAAATGTTTTTATCTCCAAGGTATGATTGTGTGTGGGCGGGACTGTTGAGAGGCGAGCGGACACACCTTTGCTGTTTCATACCTTTGGAGGGGAGGAAGCTGCACCTGCCGTCACACTGAGACGCAGCAAACCTTTCAGTGTCACATCTGAGGAAAACAGTGGAAACCTACCTAACGAGGTGAGTGGACTCAAAACTAAATATGAAACCTGCATAGTTCTAACTTTTTACTCTGGATGCTGGTCAAGTCAATCATCCAGGTCACGATCAATAAAAAAAATTAAAACTAATGGACTATTATGAAGCTAAAACTTGATAATTAAAGTGTTCAGTTTCAGAATAGAAGTTCAATTGTTTGTTTTTTGTTTGGGGTTTTTTTGTTAGTTTTTTTTCTGAACATTTTTATTCTCAAGCGATTGTTTAAAATCAGTTATCATTCAGTTACCTCTCAGTCTCTACTGACATGTTCTCCATTGTCAATGCATTGTGAGCATATATGGATTTAACCTAAAAGAAAAACACTATATTTAACTGAATCATACTTTATTGACTTGACTTGACTAAATTATTTATTATCCTTCTTTTCAATGATAAAATCTAACCGTGCTTAGAAAAATGACGAGTTCCATAGATCTAAGCAAAACCAATGTTTTTCCTGCATTACTTCTCAGAAGTCCTGTGTAGAAACGTGCTTTAAGCTCTTTGTAATGTGACAGACTGTGTGTATATGAAGGAAGGGTGAGCGATACTTGCTGTCCGCTCTCTGTGATACCAGTGAATCCTGTACTGATGCACACCGACGAGCTGCGAGGTGCAGCCAGACTGGTTGAACAGCTTCCTCACTCCCATAGTGGGAACTTTGTTGCTGCGGTGCACCCAGGATAGGCTGACAGACCCAAGTAGGGGATGGGCTACTTTAAATATAACCTGTTAGGGCAAAGGTTGAAACTATTGCAGTGATAAATTCACATAATCATCATTATTTAAAAAATAAATAAAATGTTTGGATTCATGTTCAGCTGAATTGGTTCTTCTCCTCACAACAGAAAGATGATGGGCACGACAAGACATCTCGTTACTGTAAGTCCCGTCTAAGTGTGGCTTTTGTGAGGATAAATGACTTCACTTTCTGATAACGTCTTATTTCTTTATCACACGCAGCACCTGCTGACGTTTTCACTCCAGAACGGTGATGTCCACAGTGTGGAGGAGGCCCAGACGCGCCTCTCCTTCCTGGCTAAGAATAACAAGCTGTGGAGTCAAAAGATGTTCCTTGAAGTTGGGAAGGACTCCATTCTCCTCCGAGACATACAGAGTCAGGTGAGAGCACGTTCATTCTTCAGCTGAAGGTTGGCGTGGATTAAACAGCCCCTCATTTTAGAGCTAGGTGCTTTTGTTTGTGCATGAGTTTATGTGATTGTTAGCAAAACATCCTAAACTCGGAAAGTACCGACTATAAGGCGCACTTAAAATCCTTTAATTTTCTCAAAAATCGACAGTGAGCCTTATAATCAGGTGCACCTTATGTATTAATTCTAGTTGTACTTACTGACCTCGAACCAATTTTATTTGTTATTGTGAATGAGTTGAATAAAGTTTAACTTATCTGACTGTTTTGTTTCACTTAATGCGCCTTATGTATGAAAAATGACCACTAATACAATATCATTGATATTGCGCCTTATAATCCGGTGCGAATTATAGGCCGAAAAATACGGTAATTATTTGATGTACATCTACAGTTTATTAGATACTTGGGAGTCAGCTGTAGTTAAGATGGCTGCCACAGCTGGTAGACCATAGTCAACATAAAAATGTCTTTGACTCAGTCTGTTTTAAATACGTTGAGCTAAAATTTGACGTGGTAGTTGCTGAGAGTTATTCCCAACACATTGAGCCTGACATGATGTCACATGACGTTGCACATAATGTCATTGTTTTAGTAGCCGGGTGTCACTGAGCATGAGAGTGCGCTTATTATTTTTAATATTTGACCAAAATGAGCAGGAATTCAAAGCTTTTTATTACATTTTTGTTGTCTTTAAGTTTGGTGAAAGCGGGGAGTTTCTTTTCAGATTATGTATGTGGGTTAATTTTTCTCATGATCTATGACATATTTTGTCTCCCACTACCTTAAATGCACCGTGCTGGTTTTTTGAAGTCTATAGTTTAAGATGATAGAACTGATCGAACCCATTCAAAATGATTTTTATCTGAGTGTGACACCTTGAGCCAGAGGTGAAGTTTCAATGTCTACTGTGTGATTTTAGATCAAATGAAAAAGACAACAAGGACTACAGTCAGTACAAGAACTGATTTATAGGAAATTAACGAAGGTAGATGATTGAATAATGTAGAGTATTTTAAATGTTCTGGTTTAAATTAAAGACAATAAATCAATTAACACGAGTGTTTTAATTAGATTTTTTTGAGTTATCACATCAAGCAGTTCAGGAAGATGAATGAACAATGATCAGAGACAGATTTTTTTTTTTTTAAACGTTGCAGACGAGGCCGGTCCATTGTGTGTTGATGACAAGTCAGGATGAATAGTTTTTTTCTGACAGTCATTCTTGTAGAATGAGAACAGTTTGCTGAGATCAGTGAAACTTCCTAACAGTTTAGCTTTGTTAACCGTCGGGGTTCCATCGTGGAGAACCTCAGGGAAGTTCATTTCATTGTCACCTTTTTGATATTAACAATAACATTTAGTTTTGTTACTACCGTTTGTTGAGTTTATTATAGTGTGTCATAACATCTGTTTTGACTTTTGGTTGTGATTTGTGGGAAATTGTTGACAACATTTTAAAATTGTACAAATTTTCCACATAAAGAGCAATTAAATGTGGGCAAAGCTGTGAAAAAACTCCATCCCTATTTGGAGATTTACAGCTCAAACATTCTTTATAATAGAAGCAGATTTTAAACTTTAAATGGGCAGCGAAATATAGCTGTCAGCAAACAGGGCGCTTTTGTGATATTTTACAGAACTAGTGTAAAATCTCGCTTTAATTGTTGGGAAGTTTTTAGCCAGTTTTGTGTTTTACAATGAGTGTGCGTCGGATGAAAGCTCACACTGTATACATCAGAACATAGGCATAATGTTCTTCTTTCTCTGAAATGTCTGTTGTTACTACAGGATGTGTGTTTTTCTCTCAAATTGCCCCGAAGCACAAAGTGCACACACCCAAATTCTTACTGACTCCCATTATTATTGAGCTGCAAATTTTATCTTAGACCCTAGAAGGAAACAGTTCATTTAACTTCATTTTTTTTTTTTACTTTGTGCTCAGCTGAGAAATTCAAGCCAATTTTATTTGTAAAGCTCTTTACACACCACAGCAGACCAAAGTGCTGCACAGAATCAACATTAAATCACAGCTCACACAATACAAAATACAACCAAAACATACATTAAATAAAACCAGGAGATAAAAGTGATAAAATGTGTAAAAATCTGATCAAACAATAAAAGTAAAATACAAAAAAAAAAAAAAAATCTGGTCAAAATAAATAAAAACAACACGTTACAAAGTGTTAAAAGACAAAGAAAGCAAGTGGGTTTTAAGAAAAGTTTTAAAATCAGATACTGAGACCTGTCTGAGATGGAGGACCAGCTCGGTCCACAGTAAAGGAGCTGCTGAATGCTACATTAGTGGGATCCAGTCCAAGTTTTTTAACCAGAGGTTGCACCACTGCATGTTTAAAATGATCAGGGACCACATGACAGACTGACGATCAGCTCAAGAGCAAATGTGGAGAAACCTCTTTAAAAAGTCGACAGCATTGTTTAGAGAACATGAAGGTTTCAGATGAGAGATGATCTCCTGTAGAGAAGAGAGTCCCAGGTTCAAACCTGTCAAAGACTGCACAAGCAGGGACACAAACTGAGGAATCACAGGCAGGAGATGAAATTAAGTCCCTTATAGTTCTGATTTTATCTATAAAAAGTCTAGAAACGTTCACAAAGAGCAGAGGAGGCCTCCATACAGTTAGTCTGTGGACGATCAAGGACAATCCATCCATCCATTATCTTTGCCCGCCTTTTTCTTTTCGGGTCACGGGTGTCACTGCATACCAAGCTATCACTGCGAGAGGCGGGGGGCACCCTGGACAGGTCTGCAGTCCATCACAGAGTTACACAAGACAAAAAACCATTCACTCTCTCACTCACACCTAGGAACAATTTAGAGTTACCAATCAGCCAAACGTACATGTTTTTGGTCAGTGGGAGGAAACCGGAGTACCCGGAGAACACCCACGCATACCCAAGGAGAACATGCAAACCCACCCAGAAAGGTCTCTGGCCGGGATTTGAACCGGCAACATTCTCACTGAGCGGCTCTACCAATTGTGCCACTGTGCCGCCAAGGACAAAGTCAATTGTTTTATTACAGTAGTAAATAAATATGTAGTTTGTGAGAATTTGATTGAATAATAGTAGACAGATGTTTTCTTCTGGCTTCCTTCACAGTCTTTTCATAATGATGCCAGCAGTCCTTTAATCTTTGAAATTAAACCTCCAATCTGTCTTTTCTCACACTCAGTTCTACGGCCCTCACACCGAACAGCCTGGCTCGTATCATTGAGCCAGGGCTCAGATTCAGGTTTAGGCTGTCTGGTCTTTAGAGGAGCAACTATGTCCATAAGCTGAAATCCTGCATTTTGTTGAATAAAGTCTCTGATTCAAAACTGTGGCTAATGTAGCAGCAGTGGAGGGCTTCATGATGCGGCAGCTCCAAGCAGCAGGCCACTGTTTGACTGAACTTTTAACAAAAGGAACCTTAAATAACAGGCATATGACAACACTGTGTCACAGATATCCCGGTTGAAAACAGGTAAACCCTGAGATAAAATCAGATCTAGTGTGTGCCCACGCTCTTGTATGGGGCCAGACACTAACTGTACAAAATTAAAATAGTCAATAATATTTAAAATGTCTGTGGCCATCAGTTTATCTGGACAGCACACATGCATGTTAAAATCCCCATCAGTCAGAACACGGTCATATTTGGGCATCATATATAAAAAGACCACTAATGTTTGCACTGATAATGACCTTTAGTTGTCATGCAGGATGAGCTGGAGAAATATACCTTTGAGGACATCTTCCGCTGCGAGGCCATCAACACGGAGAAACACTTCCCATCCCTCCTGCTGTTGGTCTGCCAAGGCGCCGATCAAAAGAAACCCGACATTCACTTCTTCAACTGTGAAACCGTGAAGGTGAGTCCCAATGGACACAGTGAGCCACTTTTTGTTGAAGCCTTTTGTTTGTTCTTACCTAAGTGACAGGAGTTTCTGTGTTAAAGTCGGAAATAGTGTATCTGTGTCAGTGCCTCTTTCCTCTGGGGTCCCACAGGGCTTGATTCTTGGGCCCCTTTTGTTTTCACTCTATCTTTTCCTTGAGGAAACATGGTCTTTCATTTCATTGTTATGCTGATGATTGCCAAATTTATCTGCCCTTAAAACCTAACAGTTCTTGCTCCATTTGCCCTCTGTTAAAATGTCGATGACATCAAGGCATGGATGGCTTCAATTTTTTAAGTTTTAATGATCAGAAAACTGAAGTCATTGTGTTTAGCCCTAGCTCTACCGTTGTTGCTGATCCTGTAAATCTTGACTTTCTCCAGCATATCTTAAGCAGTCTGTTACGAATCTCGGGATGGTTTAAGACTCTGACTTTAAGTTTAGTAAACAGATTAACTCTGTTCTAGAAAAAAGCTTATTCCAACTAAGGTAGATCGGTAAGCTTAAGTCCACGTTGACCCGATTTGACCTTGAAAAATTAGTCCATGCATTCGTTACAGCCCGGCTGGACTACTGTAATGTGCTTTATCTTGGGGTCAGTCAGGTTTCCCTTTCACGTCTCCAGCTTGTCCAAAATGCTGCAGCTCAGCTCTTAACAGCAACTCGTAGGTTTGAGCATATTTTACCAGTTTTGTCCTCCCTTCACTGGCTCCCTTTGTTTGTCAGAATTTATTTTAAATGTTTCCTATTGATTTTAAAGTGCATTATAATGGTCTTGCACCTGCATACCTCTTTGACCTACTTCAACCATATGTTCCTTCTCGGGCGCTGAGATCATCAGACCAGCTGTTTTTGGTTGTACCAAAAACCAGGCTGAAGCTCAGAGGAGATTGAGCGTTTTCAGTCACGAGCTCTAAACTCTGGAACAATCTGCCCCCAACATTAGACAGACCACTTCACTCCCTGCTTTTAAATATCTCCTAAAAACACACCTGTATTCACTGACGTTTAACACAGTGTGGTTTCATTTGCTATTTCATTGTTTTTGTGTTTTTATGTTTTTATTTTTTGTGTTTTTAATTACATCTTGCTTTTTTTTTTTTTTTACTGCCTTAATCATATTGTTAAGCGCTTTGGTAACAGCTTTTGTTTTAAATGTGCTTTCTAAATACATCTGACTTGACTTTGTTCAGCTACAAGATAATAACAGATGTTTCTCACAGGCAGAGAAAATATGTGATGACATCGCACTGGCTGTCTCGAGTGCCTCCATCAGGAGCAAGAAGGCGCACGATAATCTCAGGTAAACTGAACGTCATGGCAACGGGCTCTGCATTAATCCTAGAAAGCACAGGTGGCTTTTGTGAACAGAAACCAACTACCGGTACTCTACTAAACTTTTAATTTTCTGTTCGTACTCCTTGATTCGTAGCTACATAATAACTGATATTTACCTAAATAAATGGGAGTTGCACGTTCAGATGATTTTCCCTTTAAAGCAGTTTAATTTCCTTCTCTTTTCATGCTGTTCCGTCTCATTGTTGTAAGTGAAGGTAGTCTTATCCCGTCAGCAGTTCACCTGTTCGAGGCCAGGCAGGCAGAAACACAGGCAGGGCAGTGTAAACAGCTGAGAGAGGGAGGAAGGGACTCGTTTTACCAGTTTCCACATAACTTAAGAAGGTGTGACAAAGATAACAAGGTCCATTGTGACAGAAAGGTGCAGAAGCAGAAAGCGCGATGACTCGGTCTCAGGAATTCCTGCTCTGGAAACATTAAAGGACACGTGAAGGGCAGCTTGATCTGGTAAGACAGACAGGTGGTGGGGTTTCTTCAGGGAATCCTTGGAAAGAAGTGTCTGCACCTTGGACTACCTTTTATTTCTGTTTTAGTTCGCAAACATGAAGAAAAGTTCAGAGTTGGTCTTATTTCTGTGAAGTGATGTGTTCGAGTTAACCTTTAAGCTAGATTAAGAGCTGAGTGTCAAACTGACACATTTTCTCCAAATGTGTCTGTTAAAACATCAGATTGGTGAATTTTCCGTAGTTTTTTTTTTTTTTAAACGTGTGTGTTAGACTTCTTGAGTCCCTGCTGAAGGGCGTTTCTGGTAGCAACCGCTGAGCAACCAGCCACCATAAACAAGAGGGCCGTTTTCACCTTTGACCTTCAGCTGCTGAAAGCCTCTGCTTCTCCTGCAGGCCTTCTCAGAGCGAAGAGGAGATGCTCGAATCGTTCGAGATACCCAACCCACCCTTCCCACATGCTCCAAACCCCCCTCCGGTCAACCCTCCACCTTACCCCGGGCTCAGAGGTAAGAAACAAGAAATTCTTTCTCAAGAGCACAGAGGGGCTCTGTGCACTTGTGCTTGTGAAGGAGGGGGTGTGGGCGGCTCGCAGGGGTAAAAACGAGGGCAGAATTTCCAAATGTAGGAGAGAACAGAATGAAAATGGCTGAATTTCTTTTTAAAACAGCAAACGGACTGAGCAGCGGTTCTGATCTTTCTTTCCTGCGAGCGGAGAGAGAAGTGGTACGTCCCCTCATCACTTTCAGGTCACATTTAGCTGCTTTCCAGTCAAAAACAGCTGAATGAAACTGCTCTGCCTCTCTTCAGGGGATCCTCAATCACTGCTTCGACGACATTGAGAGCTTCATGGGCAAGCTGCAGCAAATTGCAGATGCTGCGACGGTGCTGAACCAGAAGAAGAAAAAGAAGAGGAAAAGCAAAAAACAAACAGCTGAAGGTAAAGGGAGATGGACAGAGCTCTTGGAGGTGTCATGTTGTGATAACTCGTCATACCAGTTAATTTTTGTGCTGACCTACAGATAATTTACTCGCTGAAAAAGCCCAGCCCCCACAGGAGGAGGAATTCATTGATATCTTCCAGAAATTCAAATACTGTTTCTGCCTTTTGGTGTGTGAGACACTTTATCACTTGTTTTTATTTTGTCACCTCACTGGTTTATTAAATTATTTTTATTGTTGTTTATTTTAGGCTCGTCTGAAATCCACCATCGCCGCCCCTTCGTCAGAGGAGCTTGTTCATTATGTGTTCAAACCTCTTGATATGGTAAGTCAGCATCACTGAACTACTTCATGCTGCTGCTTCTGTTGTGCTGTCTGTTTCAGCAGTGTTAAAAACAGGCTGACAGAGAGCACCTCTGGTATCTATCAGTCCCACGATCATAGATCTGTTACAGTAGAAGCCATCCAGACAAAAACTGCAGGGTTCATCTAAACAGGATGGTAAAAACTGCAAAAATGTATTCAATATTCCAGAAAGAGCAAGAGAACAGAACTGAAAATGGCTTTAAAAAGACTAAAAGAATCAAATGAGGACTGAAAATGTTACAAAGAAGTGGAAAATTAGGAATAACAGATCACAAATGACCAGAATGTGTTTTATAAAGACCGAAAAAGAAGCATGAAGAATATAAAGAAGAACAGTGTTAACAATGTTTTATTTATCTTGACACTGTTGTGGATTTTTGGTTCCAGTAATTTAGTTGTAGAACTTTATGGTTTTTTGCAAAAGAAAAAGTGGCAGCAGCAGCTGGTTGTAGCACTTCTGGTGCTTCAAACTCAGTTGTAATTTATCCCACACAACCTCTTTATTGTGCGACTCCGACTGAGCGTTCACATTTTTGTTTCCTTGTAGTTTAATCTTTGTGTACTTTCAGACTACTTCTGCATACTTTGTGTCACAGTTCTCAGGCAAGGCAGGACAGGAGAGAACCCAATGGTGCAGGCAGACTTGGAGGCCAAGACAGAAAATCATAAATACTTTAATAAGGAAAACAAATGGCTGACATGACAAAAAACTTACAAGGCTGATAATCCAATACCCAAGGGACACAGGAGACAGACGAGGAGACAGACCAGAAGACTACCAGATGATGGACCGGCAATGACTGGGACACAGACCAAGACTTAAATGCACAGACAAGCTGATACATAATTATGTAGCTGGACAGGACGCACAGGTGATACAGATCTAGATGATTAGCAGGGAGAGACACTAGGAGTATGCAGGGTGATCACAAAGGGCACCATCCTTACACTTGGTACTAATTTAGATATTTATACACAAAATGTTCAGCTTACTGAGAAGATGGGTGCTAGAACTTTTATTTGTCACCATTTTACTTTTCTAAATACCGGTATTTAACTTTATTTAGAAACATTTTCTCCAAAGAATTACATTAAGATCTCTTCAGTTTCTTCAGAAACATCGTCCTCTTTGAACTCGACTTCTGCATGCTGGCTAAAGTTTGATCTTTTTATGCTACTTTTAGCTTTTAGCTACAATTCTGCTATGGTTAGCCAGCCTGATGCAACTCTTTAGATTTTAGGTATATTTAAATCATTTTAGCTAACCTTTTGCTGCTTTTTATTTAACATTTCACCAGCAAACTTATTAGCGATGAGCTAATTTAGACTTTTAGCTAAACTTTTGCTACTTTTAGGACTGAGCCAAGCTTTTGCTGCTTTTAGATAAAGGTCTACGTTTTAGCTTCTAGCCATTGTTTTGCCAAGGCCGCTCTTCTTCGATCAGTCAACCAGAATAAACGTTTTGCTTATCGCCACCGTTCCACTGCGTCGGCTGACCAAGTGAGGCAAAAGGTTTGGTTATCCACCAGAGATATCCATCTTAAGGACATCCCAATATGGCTCCACACTTCATGTACCTTTTCCCATAGAGAAGATCATCAACCCTTCTGATTTCCACCAGGCATGTTGTTTCCCTCTAGACCCACAGATTGAAACATTAGACTGTAAACATGTGTCATGTCTAAATATTGGAAAATGTGTGAAGTTCAGCAGTGTTGTTGGAAACTACATGCAGATTGAGTGTTTACACAGGGCAGCTCCCAGAGTGACAGCTTGATAAAAAAGGTCTAACTGCATCTGGTTTGTGTGGTGTGCTCCACATTTATCAGAAGGAATGGGTTATTCAGCCATGGATTTCTCAAACGTTTGTTTGAGATTTCAGGTGCATTCCTGTAGATAAAAAAGGCTGCCGCCTGACTGCTGCAACGAATAAGAGTGGATTTTAGAAGAAATAGATACTTTGTGCCCTAAAAATCAACCGAGACTGTGGTCTTAGTCTTGATTTCAGCCGAGGAATTTCATTCTGACAAGCAGAGTTTTTAAACAAGTGCCACGTATAATAATTGTAATGTTTGACTGAGAAGAATTAGAGCCTGCTGAGAGCATGAAAGGGTGGATCATGTTTGATTTGTTCTTACTGACTCACCTGAGTGGAAACACAGGTGCGCAGATCAGGTCGTGCACGGATCGGGGCATGCACGTCAAGTCTTTGTGTTTTCATTTGCTTACTTTTATCTACGAATGCATCTATTTTTTAATTTGCCTTTTGATTGTGCTCCAACATGGAGCAGGAGTGGTGGCGCAGAGGTTAGAGAAGGAAGATCGCCGGTTCAACTCCCGGTACCGACAACATTAAAATGTGTGTGGGATTGGTGAAGCGCCCATACCTGTCTCCACCCTTGTTTGCCCCCACTCTGGTCCCTTGAGCAAGGCCCTTAACCTCGCCATCTGCTCCCCGGGGCGCCCTATGGCAGCTCTCTGCTCCACACAGAGGGCTGTGGGAGCTCGGTGGTCTGTGGTTCCGTCATGAAGAGCATCCAGCGTAAAAACAATAGCCAAGTCTTCGTGCGACTCAGTGTACTGTGGTGACCCCTGATGAAGGGAGCATCCGAAAGAAGAAAAAAACATTTGTGCTCCAACATGAGAGTGGGTCATAAAGTGACAGACTCTGATTTTGTGTCTCTACATAACAGATGGTAAGAACAACGGGAGGACCGGCTCTCGCAGCTTCAGTATCCAGTCCCGCCATGACCACCTCTGCCGTTTCTCTGCTGCAAGACACCCTGACTGATGAGGAACGAGAGCTGTGGACGGCTCTGGGGTCCAACTGGACGCTGTCTCGGTCAGCATCAACAAACCCAGACACATGAAATCAGAGTTTGCAGTAAATACAACAATGAATCCAGTTTTACTTTCTTCTTCTGTAGCTCCTAACAGAGTTCATTATTGCCCACTGCTGAAGTTCAAGTTCAAGAATCTTTATTATCCCCAAGGGGCAATTTGTTTCACACGAAACATCCATACCAGACAAGACAATGAGACATTAAAATAACAATACAGAAATCATCACTGTTCGTTGAGAAGTCTGATCACAACAGGGATGAATGAGTTTTTCACCTTGTTCATCTGGACAGCAGATACCTGCGTCCAGATGGCAGTAACCTGAACTCACCATGGAGTGGGTGATCAGGATCTGCCAGAATCAGCCTGGCCTTGTTCACTGACCTCGCCTTGAAAGGCAAGAACAGACGATAATTTAGCCCGAGTCATTCAGCTAAACGTTCAGAAAGTCATCGCTGTATTTCCATCAACAACTGATTAACTTTCAGGATCAACCCGAATCAAAATGGCTGCCACAGCCAACGGTCCTTGAAAACCTAAAAAATGTCTGTAACTCTGGCCATTTTACAGATACTGATCCAAGATTTGATGTGGCAGTAGCTGAGACTGATCTCCAATGCAAGAGCTGAGTGCCAACAGGTTACGCCTGGTCTTTGTTCAAAATTTTCTGTTCACTTTAGTTTATTTAGATAGTGCCAAGCCACAATTGATGTCGTCTCAGGACGCTGTATAAAAACATTCACATACACAAAAAAGACGATAAGTAAAAGTTCTCTATCTAAGAAAGCTAGCAGACTGTGTTGAATCTTCACTTCGTCATAGTCTCCCATCTTGAGCAAACACAAAGGAAACAGTGGAAAGAAAAAACTCCCTTTAACAGGAAGAAACCTCCTGCAGAACCAGGCTCAGGATGAGCGGCCATCTGCTTCGACCAGCTGTGTTTGAGAGGACAGGAAGGAGAAACAGACAAACACAGAATGGCAGGTGCAGGTGCAGGTGTAGGTGCAGGTCCAGGTGTAGGTGTAGGTGTAGGTGCAGGTGTAGGTGTAGGTGCAGGTCCAGGTGTAGGTGCAGGTGTAGGTGTAGGTGTAGGTCCAGGTGTAGGTGCAGGTCCAGGTGTAGGTGTAGGTGTAGGTGCAGGTCCAGGTGTACCTCCTATTGGAAGAAAGACAAAAACACATGTTACGAAAGAAATAATTACAAATAAAAACGGGTGGAGCACGTACTGTAAAGACAGCAGCAGAGTGAGGACATGTGGTTGGTTTATCCTCCAGCAGTCTAAGCCTATAGCAGCATAACTAAGGGATAGCAGAGGAAACCCAAGCTAACCCTAACTATAGGATTTATCAAAAAGGAAAGTCTTAAGCCCAGTCTTAAAACTGGACAATGTGTCAGCCTCATGAACTGGAAGTTGGTTCCACAAGCGAGGAGCCCGATAACTGAAAGATCTTCCTCCCATTCTGCCTATAACTATGTAGAGTCAGCTCTGTCTGTTAGTAAAATATCACAAAAAATATTTCAATTAAAATCTCAGGAAATATTTGTTGAATGCACATCTACAAATGATTAATCTTTGGATCTAATCAAAGGTAGTTATAACAGCAAACTCACCTTTGAAACCACAAAAGAATGCTATAATTCAATCAATTTTATGGACTCGTGTTAAAAAATGGTGTGGTAGTAGCCGAGAGTCTATCACAACACCTGCGCTGAGCATCTTGTAACAACACAACATGATAACATGGTTTTCAAGGTTTGACCAAAACAGCTACAACTCTGTCGTTTCTGAGCACACCAACGATTTCAGTCTAAAACTCTGACGTGGAAGGTGACACGTGACGTGCATTCCTTCAAGGAATATTTGGTGTTTGATTACACACTTGTACTATAAAAAGGTCACATTCCAGTCTTCAAAATATTTGAGTCTTATCTCAACAGAATGCTTTGAACCCTGGAAAGAAAAGAAAACTGAAAGAGTCTCAAATTCACGTGCATCAGTCATTAACTCAGACATGTTAAAAATTATTTGTTCATTTAAAAAAAACTGCTTACTGTCTGGTAATTTTATTGTCAGTTTCAAGTCTATGTGTTTGAACTGGTTATTAGGAATGAATCGCAGTTTCAGCTGCGTTATTTGTGGTTAAAAATAAATAAATCAGCTGTGGTGAGGATGCAGGAAGTGACTGTGTGCTCTCTCTCTCTCTCTCTCAGCTCTCAGCTCAGGAGGCCCGTCGCTCCGTACACACCTGTGTTTTTAGACGGATGGAAGCCGGAAGCCTCGAGTCCAGACGGACAGGTTTGGGAGGACCCGGTGGAGTCACAGCACAAGTATGAAGCCCTCCAAGTAAAACAAGAGGTATGAAATGCCTGTGTAGCATTTAGTCCAGAACATCTACTGTGTCAGAAAAATATTTAAGTGAAGGAGTGGAGCGTAGGAGCACATCATTCATGGAAACTGTACATTCAATTCGACTCAATTCACTTTATTTATAAAGCGCCAAGTCACAACAGAAGTCGTCTCAGAGCACTGAACAGAAACATTCATATATAAAAATAATAATTTAACATTATTTATCTGAGGAGCAGACTGCTTTGAACTTAACTCCATCACATAACTCTCATCTTCAGCAAGCATGAAGGCGACAGTGGAAAGAAAAAACTCCCTCATGAGGAAGAAACATTTAGCAGAACCAGACTCAGGACAAGCGGCCATCTGCTTCAACCAGCTGGGTTTGAGAGGAACAGATACACAATGGCAGGTCAAGAATCACATGTTAAGATAGAAATAGTATCAAATGAAAACTATTCAATTTTAACCATTCATTCAAGGAATTGAGGTCAATTTGTACTCCAGTAGTCTAAGTCTATGGCAGCATAACAAGCCAACCCTAACGATAGGATTTATCAAAAAGGAAAGTCTTAAGCCCAGTGTAATGAGAGATAATATGCGTCTGATATTATCCTTTATTTAAACGGATTCTTTCATTTTTCTGGACTGAGTAATATCGTGTTTTGAATATTAAATGTGGACGGAAACGTGTTTATCTTTGACCCACCACAACAGTGAGTCGTTTAATTAAAAACGATTTAAAACAACATCACACATTTACATTAATTGGCAGATTGATTACAATTAACAGCTTAATTAATGAGCTTTACAATGAGAAATCATACGGCCACGATTTCTCACTTGCAACTGAAATACAACAGACATTTCTGAAAATATCTGGATTAATTACTGGCAGATAGAAGAGTTTTAAAGATGGGGAAATGAAGTTTAAATGGAGAGAGATGGGTGAGGGAAAGTGTCTGTATAACCAGAAACAACACGCTTCTTTGGACGCAGCTTAACCCACGGTACACTAGCAGTTGAGATCGACTCTTTTACCTTTGCAGACGATAGTTTCGGCTTCGGTGTAGAGTTTTCTTTCAACTCTTTTCAGCGTCTCCATAAGAACAGCTGTGACCTCAGGAGTCGTGAGATCATCACAGAACAGACTTCCTCATTGTTCAGAGCGTTCGTCGGGTAGAGCCACAGCGAGACGTCGTGGCATCGACGAACTCTTGTCACTCCATTAGAAACTGCTCGGAACTTCTGTTCCTCTGAACTTCTCTCGTTCAGGAACTTCTCGTTCGAGGTTCTCCCTGGAACTCTGGTTCTTGTGGAACGTTGTTCTGCTCTGGAACGTTGTTCTGCTCTGGAACTCTTGTTCTTTTTGGAACTAGGAAGTGTCGACCCTTTTAAAGAGGTCACTTCCGGTTCCTCTGAGAACTTCCTGATTGGTTGAACGAACCAATCGGGGTGTAGTTTTAGTGACATAAGAGGTTATTACAAGTCAAGGAGACAGAGTAGATGTTTTAAGAACAGACAGAAAGATGTTTTGAAGAAACAGAGACATTTAGGAGCCAGTCTCCTTCTATCTATCTGAGAGAGTTAAACATGACATTTCGTTCCGATAAACATGTTTTTGACCGAAACTTGACTTTTGACCGACATCACAACTTGCTCATTTCAGACAGAAAATCAAAAATGCATAATTACTTGTAACAGGCATTTTAACTTGATTTCTACTTTGAATGAGGATTAAAAATCATTAATACTGTTTCACAGTTGATTTAAAATGAGTGGTTCACTTCAACATTTAAAATGGTTTGAACTAAACACACTTTTGATTATCAAGACATTTGTAAAATAGTAATGATAATATGAAAGAGAGTGTTCTTTCAATTGATTAGTGCAGGACACCCTTAGGAAGTCTCTGGATGAGCTTAATTTGTGTTTCTGGACTCAAATCAATGAAATAACAGTTCCTGTCCCAGGAAGGCCCTCAGGGTCAGGTTTTTGACCTGAGGCTTAGTTCACTACACCAGTCTGAAAACTGCACAATGTGTCAGCATCACGGACAGAAACTGGAAGTTGGATCCACAAGAGAGGAGCCTGATAACTGAAAGATCTTCCTCCCATTCTGCTTTTGGAAACTCTAGGAACCACGAGTAAGCCTGCAGTCTGAGAGCGAAGTGCTCTGTTTGGAAAATACGGAACAATAAGATCTGTAAGATAAGATGGAGCTAGGTTGTTGAGGGCTTTGTAAGTTAGATGTAAGAACTGTGAATTATTAATTCTGTAATGTACATGAACTGGTCTAGTTTAAAGTTTTGTTTCCAACACGACTTGAGAATAAACACAGCAACAAAACTGATCAACTTGAGCTCTTCTAGAAGATCTTTGCTCTCTATGTGCAACCTTAATAAACTTTTGGGGAAGTTTGGTCATTTCACTTTTCATTTTTTGTTAGGAGGTCTTGGTGGTTTTAGTGACAGATTTAACAACCCCAATTCTGAAAAGGCTGGGATGGTCAGTAAACTGTTAACAAAATCAAATTTCCATCATTTGCAGATCCTTAAATAAAATCCGTTTTTTATTCATAATGGATCTTAGCAGGTATTTCAGATGTTTCAACAAAAGGTGGGGATGGGCAACAAAAGGGTTTAAAAGTAAAGAGGAGTTTAAAGATCATTATAGAAAGACTGAATCTTTGTGACGTAAAAATGAGCAGAGGTTCGGCCGTCTGTTACTGTAAACTGCAAGTGTGACTTTCAAACTGTCGAGTCTTCGGATCCTCGATTGTCAACAAATGTTCATGATCTTTTATGTTCTCAGCACTAATCACGTTTTTGCTTTTATCTCCAGAGGCAACACCACCATCAGTCACTCGGACCTTCCGATATCTACACCAACAATGAATCGTAGGTCATTTTTTAATAAAATCAGCCAGCAAGTCTCATGTAGTGACTGTGTAAAAGCGATAATTTGTGCTTTTTGTATCATTTAGAGAATCGCTCCCCCTTGAGGCCGAGAGAATCTACAGCTGCAGCTATGACTTCATAGCCAGAAACAGCAGTGAGCTTTCTGTGCAGCAGGGAGAGACTCTGGAGGTGAGACTAGGGACATTTTGACTCTGAGCCTTCGGCTGTTTTAAATAATTTCTGCAGCTAACGTTATGTTTCCATCGATCAGGTGATCGAGTCATCAAAGCGCTGGTGGAAGTGTCGTAATCGTTTCAATCAGATTGGCTTTGTGCCCTTCAACATCCTGGAACCTGCGGCTCACGTAGAGAGCCCCGTCAGCAGCAGACCCCCCAATGTAAGGCAAACACACAAATCAGAATCAACTTTTATTGTCATTGTACAGAAGCACAATGAAATTACATTTCAGTACAGCCGTCCAAAGAAAACATGGGTAGACGAGGGTGCCTGAGGCTGCAGCCTTGTGTGAAGCGCTGCTCTTTTTGTTTAGATAAGGAAAAGGGAAAACATGAGGAAAGGGGACAGGACACAGTGTGAGGTTGCAAAATAAACCTCAGCACAAGAAAAAGTAACATACTGGTGACATAAAGATATGTGGAGTGGGTAAAGGTTCACAGGACAAAGAGCAGAGCAGGGAAGGAGCAGAAAGGAAAAGCCTTCGCCTGCGCCAAGAGCAAAGAAGAAAGAAAAAAATCACACAGATGAACTCTCCCCTCTGCATTCCCACTTATATCACTCTTGTCCCTCATTCTTACAGGCTCCAGCAGCACCCCCACTCCCCAAGACTCTGTCTGGAGTCCCACCAAGCCCCCCTGTTCTGTCCCTCACTCCTTCCCACTCTCCACAACGCCCTCACAGCTTACCACCATACTCTCAACATGCACCAGTTTCAGAAGAAGCAGAAAGAGGTAAGATTTTGTCACAGGAGAGCTACCATTTACCGTAGTTTTCAGACTATAAGGTGCACTTAAAATCCTTTAATTTTCTCAAAAATTGGCAGTAAGCCTTATAATCAGGTGCGCCTTATGTATTAATCCTGGTTGTGCTTACTGACCTTGAACTGATTTTATGTGGATAATGTGAATGAGTTGAATAAAGTTTGACTTATCTGACTGTTTTGTTTCGATTAATGCGCCTTATAGTCCGAAAAATACAGTACTGTAAAATGTGTTGGAATGCTAAATCCCCTTTGGATGTTTTCTACATAAACTTTTAGTTTGTCTGGATATTGTTTGTTGGAAAGTTTATAGTAACCTGTTTAAAATGTTTTAACCGAATTTCTGAAAAAGTTAGGACACTGTGTAAAACGTCAGAAAGCAGTTATTTGCCACTTTGTTAAACCCGTACTTTATTCACAGTGGGAACACAGTAAAACATTTCAAGTAAATTCTGCTAATATAAAACAATGGCAACAAAAGGCTGTAAATGTCAGTGGTGTTAATAAGAACAGCTGGAGGGGTTTAAAAATATTATAACTGTCAACAAGTGAGTAAGGGGACTGGAGCTTTTTAGAGTCTGAACCCCACAGAAGTCAAGATGGGCAGGGGTTCACCAGTCTGTGGAAAAACTGAGTCTGAAAATAGTGGAAGAAGTTCTGATTAATGTTCCTCAACGGAAAATAGGGAAGACTTTGAACACCCCATCATCTACAGTTAATGATATCTTCAATAGGTTTAAAAATCCTGGAGACATCTCTGAGCTCAAAATGTAAGGCTGAAGGTCACCACTGACCTTCTGGTGCTCAGAGACCTCTGTATTAAAACAGGTCTGATTCTGTGCTGGACTCCACTGCACGAACTCAGGAACACTTCCACAAACTTTTGTCTGTTAACATGTTCACTGTGCCGTCCACAAACACTGCTTAAAGCTCCATCATGCAAAGAAGAAGTCACATGTGAACGCCATCCAGAAACACTCTCAGGACCAAAGCTCATTTAAAATGGACAGAGCAAAGCGGAAAACTGTTTTGTGGTCAAGCATCCACTGTACTAAAGAGAAGAAGGACCATCAGTCTGTTATTAGTGCACTTTTTAAAAATCCTGCCTCTCTGATGGTATGGGGGTACATCAGTGCCTGTTTATACAGGTTTCTGAACAAAATGTGCTCCTATCTAAACAACATCTTTTGGCACATTTCAGCAAACATGAAGCATTTGATGCATCATGGGAAAAAAATAAAAAAAACAACAAAGAGAACCAGGACTGTTGAACAGCCAGAATCCACCATCAGATAAGACTGGTTCTTGGATGAGAAGCAAAATGTCTTCCGTTACAAATAAAGTCCAGTTGTTTTGGTCTTGAACTTTTTTTTGAATAAGACTGGGTCAACGTTCACTCTAAAGCCTCCAGCAGATGCTCTCCTCAGTTCCTGGACGTTTACAGGCTGTTTAAAAAAAGGCAAAGGGATGCTTCACAGGAGGAAACATGGACCTGTCCCAGCTGTCTGGAGAAGTTTAGCAGCCATAAATAAAAAAAACATGACACGTTTTTCAGTCTAAACAACATTAATTTATGAATAAAATCTAGATTTTTGCTTTAGCATTTTACACATCTCAACCTTTTCTGAATATAGAATCTGAGTAAAAAAAAAAAGGTTATTTTAGGGAAAACTTCACTTGAGTGCAAGTGAAATCTTACCTTCTACCTCTCAGACCAACCGGATGGACTTTTTTTCTGATTTAAGGATTGGTAACGATATAATACGTCCACAAAAGTTTAAAATGTAACAAGTGCTCGTGTCTCCCTCTTTCAGTTGTGATGGTGAACGACGAGCTGCTCCAGAGGCTGACCAATGGAAAGGCCAGTCTGGGCAAACCCCTCGTCATCCATCGTTCTTCAGAGACCACCGTGCCTCTGGACTACCACTCTCCTCCAGAGGAGGTGGCCGAGTGGCTCAGAGGGAAGGGATTCAGTGAACCGTGAGTGATGTCACAGCCAGAGAATACAGTTTAATCACCAGAAACTTTGGACTCATTGCTGTTTTGCGCCCCCCAGGTCGGTGTTATGTTTGGGGGTGCTGACAGGAGCTCAGCTCTTCTCGCTCAACAAGGACGAGCTGCGAGCTGTGATTCCAGAGGAAGGTGCCAGAGTGTACAGTCAGCTCACGGTGCAGAAAGCACTGCTAGAGGTACACAAGCTGGAACGAGCCTTTTGGGGTTCCTATCATTAAAATAGTTGAAACCACAAGAAAAGTCTGTAATCACTTTAACATTTTCAAAACCTCTTCATTCACAAGAAATGCAAATATTTTTATGTCAACCATTAGAACCAGTATATTCTGTTCACATGCACTTATGGGTTTGAATCGCTTCTTAGCACCAGACTGATGAGTAACAGACAGTTCTATGTGGGCAATGTTCGATCAACTTCAGCGAAGACAAATGACTTTAACTCAATCACATTTATGCACATTGAGGTAACGTTTGTTGTGATGGTAGCTGAGAGTCCTCCTCACTGCATCCTCCAAAGGCCAACACATTTTGCGAGCTCTCACGATCTAATTAACAGATACAAACACTATTTTGGATTGAAATGGGTGGAATGCCACCTCTGATTATGGGAGGGTGTCTTTGCCTCATGGAGGAGTTTATTATTATTGTTGTTTAGAGCTCACCATAGCTCTGAAGCTGCACTGGTGAAAGTTGATGTTCTCGTGGTCTCTGACAATGGACAGGTGTCTACGCTGGTACTGTTCGACCTCAGTGCTGCATTTGATACAGTTGATCACAATATTCTACTACAGAGACTTGAATATGAAATTTGAATTACAGGAACGGCTCTAAATTGTTTTAAATCATATTTATCTGATAGATTCCAATTTGTAAATGTAAATAACGAATCTTCATCATACACCAGTTAGTTATGGAGTTCCTCATGGTTCAGTGCTTGGATCAGTGCTATTTACCTATATGCTTCCATTAGGTAATGTTATTTATTAAACAGCATGGGATAATTTTTCATTGTTATGCTGATGATAGTTATATTTGTCCATGAAACCCATTGAATCCAATCAGCTACTTAGACTACGAGCATGTCTTATCTGCACCTTATTCCTGAGTGATGGTACTGAGCAGGAGATGGATTGGGGCGTCGTCCTCAGTGTGATGGTGTTGCTTCGTGTTGGTCGTAGTGCACGAAGAGCTGAGTTGAAAGACAAAGCTCCGATTTACTGTCTACGTTCCAGTCTTCACCTGTGGTCATGAAGTTTGGATCACGACTGAAAGAACGATTCTGAATTCAAGCGTCCGAAATGATCTGCCTTCGCGGGTGGCTGAGCTCAGCCTTAGATAGTGTGAGGAGCTCCATCATCCGGAGGGAGCTTGGAGTACAGCTGCTCCTCCTCCGCATCCAATGGAGGCAGTTGAGGTGGTTCGGGTATCTGATTAGGACGCCTCCATTTAGAGGTTTTCTGGGCACTGGTAGGAGGTCCTGGGGAAGACCCAAAAGTCCCTGGAGGGATTGTGTATCTTCTCTGGTCCAGGAAAGCCTCAGGGTCCCCCCCAAGAGGAGTTAAGCAGCGTTTCTGGGGAGAGGGATGTTCGGTTTCTCTCCTGAATCTGTTGCCTCGGCGACTCGTTGACGGTTTGACTAAAACAGCTGTAACTCAAACTCTTCTCAGCATAAGATGATAGTCTAGTACTAACGTGAACCACGACCAGCAATGTGCATTTATTTAATTAGATAATTATTACTGCTGTAGTTTGTTGGACATCTTTTTAAATACTTTAATCTGAGGGACATGGAGATGTTTATGCCAAAACAAAGAAACTTTCAAATTAATTTCAACCTGCTTCTTCTCACTCCAGGACGCTAGGCGAGCCACAGAGTTGGAGGCGGTCATGGAGAAACAGAAAATGAAGGTGGATCTGAAGCTGGAGAGCAGCACATTGTGATCTGCAACACCAGAGTCAGATGGATTCATTTGCCGCTTCAAGCCGTCACTGAGGAACGAACTGTTATTTGTATTTATCAGAGGAATGTGTGAGATGATGCATATTTTGTTTATGAACATGTCATAGTGTTTATTCTGATGGAATCACATCTAGGGTTGAGAAACATGCAAGTTAAGTTTGCAAGCAGGTGCTGCGCTAAATAAATATTTAAACACCGAAGTGCTCCTTTATTATTCTCATCCAGAACTTCATGTAAAATGTTTCATTTTTGAAAAAGTCAGACACCATTAGGTCATTTTTTTAATACAACATTAAAGAAAAGGATCCAGCAGAACATAAAGAGTACTCAACACAGTGGGGGAAGCAGTGGTTTCATTAGTTGGTTTCCATTTAATTGTAACTGCTACAATAATACAATTATGTTGGGCCAAATTCTCTTTTTTTTTTATTACTGTTGGACAGTTTCCAATGTGCCACTGCTTCACATGCCAACACTAACCCGGAACATACCATTTAATGTCATTATGATAAATGGAAAAATAAAAAAAATCAAGACCCAAACCAACTTTTAGAACAAGAAACTTGCCACCAGTACAATCAAATCAAACCAGAAAAGTTCAACTCACAACTTTCACTTTTCAAAGCTTAAAATAAATCTTGAATTTGTAAAATATGAAAATGCATCTCAGATATTAGCTCTGAAAATCTTTTCGTGGTTTGAATTTTACACTTTTCAATGGGCTTCTGAGGCCTACTCAACATTTATGTGGACAAACACTAAAATAAAAGAAATAAAAATGCATGTTCCATGACAATGCATGAAAGGACAAAACATAACTACTTGATTGGGCCAATTCTTCTAAACTATAATGGCAATAAACCAAAAACATATTTACAGTTTCTTTTTTTATCAATTCAATTTAAAAGACTGGAGCAGTTCCATTTTAAGTCCCATCAGTTCGTTTGTGACTCATTTATAACAAGACGAAGGATGGTTTATATTACAGCTCAGCTATGGAGGTGGTCTGGAGTAACAAAGAGGGCGAATAGAAGAGGGCTAAAGGCAACAACTACAATTATTTAACTTTACGTTATTAAAAATGGACAGGTCAAAGACAGGAGACTGTGTGTCATAGTAGATAGTTTGAGCTTCAGAAGTCCCTCGTGTCCCTGTCGTCTGCTCGGCGGGACTCTGACCTGCCGTTCATGCCGTCCCTCCTGTCTCGGTCCCGGTCTCGAGACGAGCGTTCGCGATCTCTGGACGACCTGCGAGACAAGAGTTGAATTACAAACTAAAAAGCAGGCAGAGGCAGACCGATTTATGTCCATACAGAATACAAAATACTAGGGCTGGAACGGGTTTATAAAAGCAAAATACAGTCAAGTCACCTATCCGAGTTAGATTTGTGTATACTGTTCAAATTTTAGGTTCATATGAGAAAAGGAAGGATTGCTGTTAGGAGCCATATTTATCATATAATTTTGTAAGGACCATAAAAAAGTTAATTTGATAAATATAGGGCTTAAATTTTAGTCAGTTCAGTTTTGTGTGCTCAAGATAGATGGAAATATACTTTATTAATCCCTGGGGGAAATTCAAGGCATGTTCTAATTATACAGAAAAAAACATGAAATAATTTAAAAAAAGCAGAAGAATACCATATATTTCACTGTATAAGTTGCAGGTTTTTTTGCATAATTGGCATGCTCTATGACTTATAGGCCAAAACGACGTATTTATAAGTTCCATATTTATAAACCAATTTTTGGCTGAAAAATGACTGTTTTCATTCATTCTGACTGGGAAAAAAAATTGTACAGTACCACTTTAAGCCACTTGATGGTAGCAGAGTAGTAGTAGTTGAATGGCATGCTGTTTTATCATGTAACAGGTAAAAGTGGCTATAATGACAATATGCTGGTGAAGATTTTTGTATTGAACGTTTTTTGAATCTATAATGACAAATTCAAAAATTCAAGACAAAAACAACTGGACTTTATTTTTTGATACTCTACACTTTTTTTGTTTTTGTCTTAAACTTTTTTGAATTTAAAAACATCAACATCAACGAAGACCCTCATCAGTATGCATACCGTGAGAACCGATCAACAGAGGATGCAATCTCCTCTGTGGTCCACACTGCGCTCAACCACCTGGAGCAGAAAAACTCTTACGTCCGTCTGCTCTTTGTGGACTTCACATCCGCCTTCAACACCATGATCCCCCAAACCCTGATGGACAAACTATCCACACTAGGACTAAGCCCCTCCATTTGCAACTGGGTACTAGACTTTTTAACAAACAGACCACAGTTAGTGA